GGCCTCTTCCTTCTTCCTAGTTTGTCTCAGTCTGTAAGCTGGGCTGATACCTGTGTACATGTGCATCTCGCTGGGTTTGAAATACCAGTCGCTCCACCCCAAACTCACATCAGCACGTCACCACAGTAGGACAAACCGACAGACAGGTTTGTCTCCCTGTAAATTTGAATACTAGTAAAATTAACTGGTTCTTCCTTGCAGGCATATGGATATTACCCTATTACTAATAGCACTGTACTTCAAGATAGCTTTTGAAATGTTCTTTTTGACAGTAAATACAACATCATTACTTTTCAATTTGTTATTCCAAGTATAGTAGACCATATCGGTGTCTGATTCAAATGGCAAATATCACTTCATTTCAGCTCACTAATGCCTAGAATATCCATCTTTAAGTGTTCCATTTTATTTTTGACAACTTCCGACTTTCCCAGATTCATACTTCATACATTGCATGTTCTGAGTATTACAGATTTTTGCAGCAAATGAAGGTCTCATAAGCTTTATACTATCCATGTCACTAAGGTCAACTCTTCCTTGAGAAATGAGCTCTTGCTCAGTAATTTTTTGAGTGCCTTCCAGCCTGAGGAGCTTCCCTTCTGGCACTATGTCAGACAATGTTTCACTGCTATTCATAAGATTTTCACTGATCATTCTTTTTAAAAGTAGATCATCAGCTCATTCTCCTTAGTCTGTCTTAGTCTGAAAGCTCCACTAAAGCCTGTCCACCATGGGTGATCCTACTGGCATTTGAAATACCAGCTTCCACCCGCCAGCCACTCCTCGGAAGGAAGCTTGGGCAATCCTACTTCCGTAGTGATACTGCCTCAGAAACCCAAGGGGGGTCGCTATGAGTCAGGGCAGACTCGACGGCAAATAACAACAACAACCAGGTGACATAGCTTCCAGCATCACAGCAACATGGAAGCCACCATAATACAACAAAGTGACAGATGGTAGACCCTCCACTACTTCTTAGGAAATAGAGGGCTCCTGAGTTCTCTAATACACATCTTCTCACTGTTCTCAGTCTGGACTCACTCATCTTCAAAGAATACATGTTACTGCTGCCTGAAGCATGACCTGCCCGAAGTCTCAGAGCTACTCAGTAAATTCAAGTTCAGGATGGGCTACATGGACCTTGAGGCTCTTGGATGATAGCAGGGATTGAATATTTAGGGGAGGTTGTTCAAGATGAAGGTCAAGAAAAGTGTCCAGAGACTTCTTCTCTCTCCCATCGAGCAAGACCAGATCCCTCTCTGATTCAGGAGAGGACAAGGAGATGGATGTCTGCACCCTGGGCACAAGAACGCTCAGAAAGAAAACCACTCCAGTGGGACTGATCACTGCTCTCACAGGCCAAATGCAGAACAATCATGCTTTGGTTTGCTAGAAACTTCCTCCTTCCTCCTGAAGTGGTAAATCAACAGGATGACCACAAGTGATGGTTTGACTCCTTGGTCAGTGCCCTGCTGCTGCTAAGACAGTTAGCTCTTGGCATCAAAATGATCCTGAAGATTTAATGACACATGAAAATGGTCCTGAGCTATTAAGTGGGAGAAATAAACTATAAAACATTGTGCAATGCAGGATCCCATTTTGGGAATACACATAAATAGCACATGGAAGAATAACAGCAAGATATTGGGATTATAGATATTTTTATTTTGTTCTATTTATTTCAAACAAAAAAACAAGAATTATTTTATCTGTTAAAAGGGTTGTTGTTGTTGTTGTTGTTATGTGCCGTCGAGTCAGCCCTGACTCATAGCAACTCCTCCTTGGGTTTCCAAGGCAGTATCACTATGGAAGTAGGATTGCCCAACCTTCCTTCCGAGGAGTGGCTGATGGGTTTGAACCGCCAGCCATCTGGTGAGCAGTCAAGTGCCTTAGCCACTATGCTACCAGAGCTCCCGTTAAAAGGGTAGAGTGGCTGATATCTGAGTACAGCTTTAAGAACAAAATAACTTCTCTCCCCTGCCCTGGTCATAACCCTAATACTAATTAATTACACCTCCTATAATTAACTATACATAATATAATTAAGTATTATACTAATTAGTATAATACTAATTACAGCAATACTAATTATAACAATGCTAATTAATACTAGTAGGTTGTATAATAATTATTATGCAAAATGTGTTGTTACTCTTCTACTTTTATAAGAAAGGACAAAAGATCAGAAAAGTTGTGAATATCAGAGCTTTGGTAAATAACTAAATACGTGTTATTTAAAGTGAACTGTTAGGACCTATCCTGGGCTCATTCTGGTCAGCTTGACTGATCATGCCCTTTCCCTACATCAATCTTCTATGCCATTCATGAATCCTGGGGGAACTGTGCTACCAACAAGTTCTGCCACCCCAGAGGGAAGGCAGAGGTGATGTTTTATGTCTGTGCTGATGAAGGTGGGAAGCAGATCCTGAAATTTTGGAGAGAATTTGCAGTAACAAGGTGGAAGCAAAATGATGTCTTCGTGGACTAGAAAATCCATTGACACCTCAGTTTATTGTCTGAGCTTTGCAGGTAACTAGTTTGGGGCCACAGAAGGAGACACCAGGGAGAAAAAGCAAGGAGGGAGAGATGGAACTGAGGGGCTTTTGAAGGTTGATCATTCATCCATGCCCCAATGTTTCTGAGTGGCCATGTGTGATTGCAGCTCTCCTGGAACTTTCATGCTGGTTGGGGAGTGAGTAGAGTAATCAAGTAGGTATAGTGCAGCGTGATATGGTAGTGGATGAACAGAGGCTATGGGAGCCTAAAAGATACAACTCATTCCAGCTGAGGCATCAGAGAAGGCTTCCTGGAGGAGGAGACTTCTAACCCAAGGCATAGAAGACAAAGATGAGTTGGTGAAGTCAAAGGACAATGAAGACAATGGGGGAAGAAGTGATAAGAGTGTGTCAGACAGACAATAGCATAAGCAAAGATCCAGAAGCAAGAAAGAAGATGATATGCTTAGGATGGTGGTGAGAAATGAGACTGATGCTTTATCTGGAGGGCAATGGGGAGCCATGGAGGGGGGTTGAACAAGCGAGTCACTTGATCAGATTTCTGTTTTTATAAGATCCTTCTGGCTGCAGTGATCTTTCTGTAAAGAGGAAGGAAAAAGGACACAGGAGGCAGGGAAAAATGGCAGAAATCCAAATCTAGGCACCTATTGGTGGCTAACAGACTCAGGCTTTGAGGTCTCAGGGGAGCAAGTGGCTGAACACCTTGGCTTGAGTCCTCACTTCTGAGCCTTGGTCATTGCATCTGTACAGTGAAGCTAAAAGCACTTCTCTCCAAGAGCTGCTAAAGCTGCTGAGTGGGAAAATACGAGCTTGCTCTAAACAGGGCAGATCTGTGTGGCCTCAGTTACTGAGGCCTTGACCATCACAGGTGGGCATTTCAGAAGTGCTTTCTGATGACAACCAGTGTGGCAATTCTAGCCCAGACCTAACAAAAGATTAGACCTAACAAAGATTAGTCAGATATGAATGACACAGGTACATTTCAGAGGACCATAACGTTTCTATGACAAAGAAGAATTTCAAACCTGGGGAAGCCCAAAGGCCAGGAAGGAAGCACACTGACCTGGGCTCATGGATCTGTTGCCGTGTGGTCCCCGCGGATCGCCTGCAGTGACAGCTCATAGCCAAGGAACATGGCTGCACTCATGGGGAACCCCCGCACAGCATTCACAGTGATGCCCCTGAAAAACACCTTTGCACAGGCGCCAAGATTATTCCAGGGGACTGGCCCTCACCTTCTATGGGACCACATCTGCCAGGCAAAGGAAGGCTAGGGGCTATCCCACCCCACATCCTTTTCTTAAGCTGGACCCCCAGAGCCCAAAGAACCTGTTTAGGTAGCGACAATACATGGTGCCCCAGCTGTCCCCTTCTCTGATCCATGTTATGTCTGATGGCTCTTTTTCTCCCAGATTCTCGTGCTACTACAGTCAAACTGCAGAATCCTGCAAAATCCCATGTACATTTATTTAATTGCTCTCTCTCTCTCTCTCTCTCTCTCTCTCTCTCTCTGTCCACTACGCACACACCTGCACGCAAACACACACAATTCTCTGCAATCTGGAGGTCCTCACTCTCCACTCAACTCACTCTGCAATGGTGCACAGAATGCCAGCCATGACCAGCCACTGTTACAAATGTGTCACAATACAATCTCCAAACTGGCAGCATGAGGAAGCAGTCAAGCAGTACTTATGAGTCTGCAGACATGGAGCTGAGGTAATGCTTTGCCATCTAATAACCATGTGAGTGGCAAACAGTCTGGACTTCAATTTTCCCAACTGTAAAATGTTAGTAATAACATTTACCTGATAGGATTGTTAAGGGAATAAATGAGATAACACCTTTACAGCACCTACATGGTCCCTGACATGCTGTAAGCATAATTAACTGTTGATAATATCATCACCATCATTATTATTAAAGTCAGTACAATATTTTTACTCAAATAATGGGCATACTCTACATTTGTTTGCCTACTGAGCACTCCCTCCATGAATTATTTTCATAAGTTCACTTATGCTTATTTTTTTACAACAACATGAAAAAAAAATGACATAATGAGCTTACAAAACTACCTGGTGTGGGGGCAGGGAGTAGAAGGGTGGCAGGTTGGCAAAGTAATGTAGAATGTGCACGTCATTTGTGTAAAAATACAATAGTCCATACTAGGACTCTTGGAGCTCTGGTGGTGCAGTGCCTAAGGCATTTGACTGCTAACCAGAAGGTTTGCAGTTCACCAGCCTGTCTTCAGGAGAAACATGGAGCAATCCACTTCTGTAAAGGTTTACTGCCTTGGAAACCCAATGAGGGTCTCTATGAGTTGGAATAGACTAGATGGCAGTGAGTTTTGTTTTGTTTTTATTATACTAGGACTCGACCTCAACCATCAGTATCAGTGCTGAGGAATAATGGCCTATCTTTATGAACAGTTAAACTCTGCCTTTAATACTACCTGCCCCCCCCCCAAAAAAAAAAAAAAAAAACCTCACTGCCCTCGAGTTGGACCTGACTCATAGCGACCCCTCCTTGACTTTCCAAGGCAGTATCAGTATGGACGTAGATTGCCCCATCTTCCTTCCGAGGAGTGGCTGGTGGGTTTGAACTGCCAGCCTTCTGGTTAGCAGTCACATGCCTTAGGCACTACATCACCAGAGTTCCTTTAATATTACCAGAAGCCCACATTCTTCGGGGAGATGGCTGCACCTTGGGACACTCCAGCATGAAGCTTAAATGGGAAAGGGGTATCAGTGGGCCTTGGAAGTAGTCTTGGTCCCAAGGAAGGAAGCTGATGAATCAGGATCCCAGAGGTTAACTGAGTGGCTCAGTCAAATCCTAGAGCCATTTAAGCAGAGCTGAGAAGGATCCTTGTAACATTAACACTCCTTTCTAATGTCTAACCTTTCTGGAATTCCACAGGCTCACCCAGAGTAACTGAATAACAGGGAGGAACTGGGTTAGGATCCAAGAGGAAAATTCCATGGGGGTGCCCATAGAGGCTCCCTGTGGGCTTGGGCTTGGCTGTACTCTGAAAGGCCAAGCCAGGCAGGACCTCACTGGGAGTGGAAGCCTCCTCTCCCACAGTGCAGAGCCCTGCAGAAGCCCTGGGCCACTTCAAATGGCAGACATGCTTGCCCTCCAGCAGCTGCAGCCAAGCCCAAAAAAGGCAAACTGCAGACCAATTGGCTCTTATCCTGAATTTTCAGAACACGGAACCACCAAACCAAGTCTCCCCCCAAAGCCTTAATGACTTCACACCACCAGAATCATGTCCACACCCCTTCACTGGTTTGCAAGGCTCCCCATGCACTGGTCCAGAGCAGTTTCTAGCCAGCCTCTCCCATCTGATATTCTGAGCAGGCTAAAGGCCTGTGATTCCTCTATGGCACCTGGCCCCCTCCCACTGGGTCTTTTTGGGTCCCTTCAGACTGGAATGCAACCCAAACCTGGTCAGAGGATCCTGGTAGCCCTCCATGCCACTGCAAGCTGCATATGGACTGTGACCTCTTAATACCCAATATGCCCCCTTCACAGCTCTTCCTACTGTCTTCCCATCACCCAGAACTTGTCTGTCTCACCATTAATCATAGAGGGCAGGTCAGTGGCTTGACCCAGAGCAGAATCTCCTAAATATTTGTTAAATGAATCAATGGGAGGATGGATAGATGGATGACTGAAATCCTGGACATGAAGAAATGAAGAAGTAGTCTCTGAGCTGAAAGATGTAGTCCCTAGGGGGACAGGAGATTCCTGGAGGTGAGGAAGGGCTTCACCCCTTAAGGGGTAGAACCACAGGACCACGATAGGACAGGTTCCTCAAGAAGCTTGTTTTCCTAGAAATGTTCCTCTAGGTCGTTCCCTAAAGTCTCATCCTCTCAAACAAACTCCTTCATAACAACGACCACTGTGGAGTTAAAAGGACACCTATCTCTCCTCCAGACTCCTTATTTTAGATAATAAGTCTCTCAAGTATGTCCCACTGTCCATATAGTCCAAGATGATTCTCCAAGTGGGCCAAGAATGGATCTAAAATTACCAGGCCTTCCTTCTGTGCTTATGCAGTAATGGGCCACAAGTTCATGGACTTCTAATTTCCACTAAATTAAAGGCTGTTCTATTTGTAATCATCAAGTGAGTTACAAAGAGTTATTAAAATCAGGCATCATTTTCATTATTTTATTCCTTTCTAATTCTTTATGATCACTAGGTTCTTCTATAGGAAAGTAGAACAGGTTACGTAATGACAAGCTTAGGGTTTCATGATCTACCTCAGTGAGCCACAAGGGGGAAAAAATTGAGAATGGCTGCTCCTTTGAGCCACAGACTAATCCCCTTGGGACCTGGCACCATCCCTTGGGCCCTGCAAAAAGGCACTACTCGCACTGCTGCTGAAATCTGTCTTTGAAAAAAAAACAAATTTCCAGGACTTTATGTGTTTTCTCTTTTCATGTTATCTATATTTATGGGTCCTTGGGTGGCACACTTTGTGCTTGACTACTAGCCTAAAGGTTAACTGTCTGAACCCACCCAGAGGTCCTAGGGGAGCTCTGGTACACAGTGCCTAAGGCATCTGACTGCTAACCAGAAGATTGGTGGTTCAAACCCACCAGCCACTCCGTGGAAGCAAGACCAGACAATCTACTTCTGTAAAGATTTGATGCCTTGGAAACCCAATGGGGGTCACTATGAGTCAGAATCAACTCAACGGCAGTGGGTTTGGTGTTTTTTTTTTTTTTTTCCAGAGGCCCTGGGGAAGAATGACTGGACAATCTTCTTCTGTAAATATTACAACCAGAAAAAACTTACGGAGTAGTTCTACTTTGTAATACATGAGGAACCATGAATCAGAATCGACCCAATGGCAATGGAATATGTATACTTAAATGTACATGTATATAAACATGTATATCTATGTATACATACATATCTGCTTGCACATGCTGTAGATATTTTTGGAATATGTCACAAGAAACTCCTAACAGTGATTACCTTTGAGCGGAGGAATGAGGACTTCAGGAGGGACATTTTATACCTGTTGACGTTTCCACGTTCTAGTTAATAATAATAATAATAAATTTAGATCCATCTGGTGAATGAGGTGGCCTATTAAGCTGAACATTGTTATCTTTCTTAAAACCTGCCTCTGAATAGTCACTCTGGATCCAACACTACTGACATTAAGACATTGATCACCTGGTCTCAGCTTCCTTCTATGACCTTGTTTTTTACAGAGCACAGTCATTTTGGGAGGAAATAATATCAGCAATATATTTTGCCTCTATGAGCTTTTTAGAATTATGATACACTGATATTTTAGGAAACAGACAAAAACATCTCAAAAGAAAATAGTGTATCCTGTTTTAATCTCTCTTTTGTTTCCCTCTGTACTTGTTGTAAGGGGCTCTGGTGGTGTAGTGCCTAAGGCATTTAACTGCTAACCAGAAGGTTGGTGGTTCAAACCTACCAGCCACTCTGCAGAAGGAAGACTGGGCAATCTACTTCTATGAAGATTTACTTCCTCAGAAACCGAAAGGGGTCACTATGAGTTGGAATCAACTTGATGGCAGTGAGTTTGGTTTTGGTTTTTGGTACGTCTTGTTGGTTAAATCACAAAACTGTACAATGGAGGCTATACACATCAGTCAGAGAAGCTTTTATAAAAAGAGAAAAAACTAAATCATAAGAATGGACAAATCCTTAAGTTTAAGGAATTTCAACCCTCTAGGCTTTCTTCATAAGATATGATGTCCAAGCTCTCATCTTTATCCCTGGAGTACAATCAGTGGTAACCAGAGGTGAACACAACATTCCAGTTGTGATCTCATAAGGGCTGAGTTCTACCTCCCTTACTGTACCTTCTATATTTCTATTAATGTAGCCTTGGAACTAGGTCCTACTCTTGACTCACTAGCATATAAGAGCATGGACTTTTCCTCTGTTGTTTACTTCTGTGTCCCCAGGTCTTAGAACTATGTCTAGCACACTTCAGGTGCTCTAAAAATAAGTATTTGTCAAATTAATATTGAACTTATGAGAAGGATGGGTAGAATTTATCTGGCAGGGCTGGTGTGAGGGAATGATGTGAGAAAAGGCTCAGAGCCCAGTAGCACTAACACCAATGAAATAGTACTCCTATGAAGCAAAGATGTTACTTTGAGGACTAAGGTACACCTGAACTGAACCATGATAATTTTAGTCATCTCCTATGCATGCAAAAGCTGGACAGTGAATAAGGAAGATAGAAGAATTGATGCCTTTAAATTATGGTGTTGGTGAAGAATAGTAAATTTACCATGGATACCAGAAAAATGAACAAATCTACCTTGGAAGAAGGACAACCAGAATGCTCCTTAGAAGCAAGGATGGTGGGACTTCATCTCACGTACTTTGTGTATGTTGTCAGGAGGGACTAGTTCTTGGAGAAGGACATAATGCTTGGTAAAGTAGAGGGTCAGTGAAAAAGAGGAAAATCCTCAATGAGATGGAATGGCACAGTGCCTGCAACAATTGGCCCACACATAGCAACGATTGTGAGGATGGTGCAAGACCAGGCAATGTTTCATTGTGTTGTACTGGACAGCACCTAATAATAACAGCTAATAATAATTCATGTCAATACTGATTACAAATGTTCAACTCTTTCCTAATGTTTCCTATGTGTTATGCATTAAGCTAAGCATATTTAAATTGTATTACTTAATTTTATCCATGCACAACTCTGTCCTTCATGATAGGGATAATTATCCTTGAAGAAATTGAGGTGCAGAGAAGTGGTTTGCCTAGATTCCCTGCACATGAATAGCTGGGCCTGTCTTTGAAGGCAAGTCTGATGAGTCTAAGAGCCATGCCAAGGAAGCAAGGGGTCCATTTGAGGAAAAATGAGCCTGATGGCTTCTCTGGCGGGAGCCAGCGGGAGTCTTGGTGGGAGAGATAGATGGGAGATTAATTCATTTGAAAATTTGGACAGCAGATGTGGAAGTGTGCTTCCTTCAGGGACAATTTTGAGGTGGAGAGGAGTAAGATAAGACTTGTGTTTAGGATCAGCCCTTTGGCTGCAGGGAAAAGAGATAAAGGAGACAAAGCCTAAGGAACTAGCCTGGAGGTTTGGAGGCTGCCTCACTAGCTGAGACCAGAGCTGATGGGGGCCAAACTAGGGTGGAGTAGAGAGTGGAAGGCATATCAGAGCTGGCAAGATGTGATGACTGAGGGATAGGAAGGGTGGAAAGTGGCCTTGGAACTTCCCACTGAGGGAAAGGGAGAAGGTGAGCAGTGAGTAAGGCAGGGTGTCCCACCCTATCTTGATGAGACTACAGGCTTTGGGAATAGACAAACATGGGTTCAGGACCTGGCTCTGCCATGCTCCAGGTGTGAGCCCAAGCAGGTTACAAGTCCTTTCTGAACTTTTGTCAGGTGGGATGTACACCTACACACTCCACCTGCCTGGGGTGAGGTTAGACAGATAACACAGAGAAGGTTTTGGTGCGGTGCCCCTGCATAGTTTTTGAAAATGATAACCATCACCCTGTTGATTTCCTGATTGCTTTCTCTATCATCTTATATCCCCCTAAATGTCTGAACCACCTTCCAGGGACTGGAATTGACCTTGCATGACTGCTATGGGGCTTACTTTAAGACCTTCCTGTTGGTAACTCTGGGAGATACAGTCCAAGACACCTTTGTATTTGCTGAAATAAACCCCATCAGCCTGGAGTCGACTTTTCACGACATCCATAGGAGTTGCTGTCCCCCAAGAAATTGCTCCTGTAAAAAGAGAAAAAAACAAACAGGTGTTGGGGGCTGGGCTCAGGGTTAGAACCTGGGAAGGCAGGGTCCTGATCCTCCCTCCACCACTTGCTGTAGGACTTGCATTCATCCCTTCATCTGTACAATGGGACATCAGAACCTACCTTCTTGTTGCTGTGAGGACCAAATGACCAATGCCTATATAGCATCTAGCACAGTGGCAGGTACACGACTGTGCTCCATAAATGGCAGCTTTAAGCAGCAGTTTTTACTGAGAAACAACCACAAGATAACTAATACTTTGCAGCATCATCCCAGGAGAAAGAAGCCAGGGTGAAGCCTGGGGCTAAAGGTTTGAACCTTCCCAGAAGCAGGATTTATTCTGAACACAAAAATGTTAAACACTTTCAGACAGGCTGGTGGCCAAGGAAGGGTCAGCCTAGATTGTAAAAAGAGTGAGGTCAGGTATTTAACCATCTCTATTCCAAATATATGGGATAGAAGTGTTGGGACCATGTACCATTGGGTCACCCTCAGCTGCCCTAGTTTAGAAACTTTTGTGATATTAATTGACTTTAGGAAAACAGCACCAGGTTACTCTATAAACACAGAAAGTGGTGCATTCTTGGGTGGGGAGAGAAAAAACAAACTGATGCTAAAGTCCAGGGCAGCTGGTTTGCAGGGTTTTGCAATTACTGTCCAGGGGTTTGCAATGGAGCCCTCAGTCTGCCCTGATTCCTTCTGCCCATCCCAGCATCCAGCCCCCTCAGACTTCTTCCCATATACCTCTGGGAGCCCCTCTGGACTTGAACACCCTTATGTGCCACTTCCCCAAGAGTTAGCCCAGGTGCTGCCATGATATGTTCCCCTGTCTCTGAGCTCATGGATGAGGGTTCTTCAAAGGAGATCTGCCTATTGGCCACTCACACCTGCTCTCAGCAGACATGAGAGCAGATGGGAGCCTTGTTTGTTCATTCAGCCAACAAGTACTTATAGAGCACTCACTGTGAGCCAAGCACTATACAGGCCTCAGAAGCATGGGGGCAGAGCAAGAACACTGCTACATGGTGGTAAAAATGTGGGCCTTGTTATATATTAGTTATAAGTTTAAAGCATAGCTGATGAGGAAAAGGAAGAAGAGGAGAGCTAAACATTTCAATTTTCTTTTCTCTAGTGGATCTTTCCCATCAGTATCAAGCACACCACACTCTCGGCTTCAAAAAGCAATCCTCCCTTGGCTTCCAGATCCCCTTCTAGCTGGAGCTCACGTCCCTGTTTCTCATTACAACAAAGTCTTGCAGAAGTTCTTGCATACTTGGTTTCTCCAATACCTTTCATCCCATTCTCACTTGATTCCATTTCAATCAGATGTTCACATCTTTCTCTCCACCAATATAGCTTTTGTCAAACTCCACATTCCAAAGCCAATGGCCAATTCTCTCACCTCCTACCTCATTTGACCTCTCAGCAGTATTTATCATGGTTGAGCTCTTTCTACTCCTTCACAAGGCTTTAGGACACCTCATTCATCCCTTCCTCTTTCCTTCTTTCTCTCTCTCCCTCCCTTCCTTCTTAGCTCCCTGCCCATTCCTTCTTACTTATTATCTGCCCCACCTCTAAAGGCTGTAGTGCCCAGGACTCTGTCCTTGACCCCCTCTATTTCTTCCCTTAGGTGATCACACCCAGTCTAATAACTCCAAATACTATTTTTATGTTGGTGACTCCCAAACACATATCTCCAGCCCAGGCTCCTCCCTGGAGCTCCAGCCTCCTGCATCCCACTTGACATCTCTCCTGGGATGTCTACCAGGCATCTCAAACTCTTGCAGCACAAACCAGCTGCTCACTGACTTCTCCCCATGCAGTCCCGACTCAGTTTATGGAAATTTATCCTTCCAGTTTCTCAGGCCAAAAGTTTGGGAAGCATCCTTAACTCCTTTTTGTCTTTCAAATTTCACATATAATCCTTCAGAACATCTTGCCGCTACTATCTAAATGCTCCCACTGGTTTTCACCATGTCCACAGAAAGATACCTTCCTGGGTCTGAGCCCCCAAGGGCTCTTGCTTTGACTATTATAATAACTTTCTACCTGGTGTTCCTTGTTCCCCTAACATTGACTTTCCTCACAGTAGCCAGATTAATTCTTCAATAACACAAATCCTGCAATCATAAACCATTACCTATTTGAAGTCCTGTGTTGTTGTTGTTGTTGTTATGTGCCGTTGAGTCGGCCCCGACTCATAGCGACCCCTCCTTGGGTTTCCGAGACAGTATCACTACAAAAGTAGGATTGCTCAACCTTCCTTCCGAGGAGTGGCTGGTGGGTTTGAACTGCCAGCCTTCTGGTTAGCAGTCAAGTGCTTTAGCCACTATGCTACCAGAGCTCCTTGAAGCCCTGTACTACCTCTTATTTATGTGGGACAGAAGGCAATTTCCTTGCAGTGGTTTTCAAGGCTCTCCATGATCTGACTCTCCGTTACCTCTCTGACTTCTTTCCTCTTACTCAGCTACAGCCACCCTGAACCCTTTGCTGTAGCTTGAGTATGCCAGGCACTCGAGTCTACCACAGGGCCTTGGTGCTTGGTATTTCTGCTGCCTGGACACTTCAGGTTTGTAAACAAATGTTATCTATCTCGGGAAGACTTCTATATATTTTTTGAATGGATAGATGAATAAACTTATTTCATATTTGTCATGATTCAGGTACTTGATCATACACAACCTTTTTGAATTCTTACAACAACCCTACGCCACAGCTAGTAATATCCTCTCTGTTTTACTGATGAGGAAACAAAAGCAGAGGGAGGTTAAATAGCCAGCCATGGTCACAAAATGAATGCATGTGATTCTGAGCTTGGATCTTTCTGACTGCAGAGCCCCATTCATTATCCTGTCTGCACTAGCAGTGTGACCTTGGATTAGCTACTTAACCTCTCTGAATTTTAGCTCCTTTACTTGAGAAAATGGGAGATTGATTCCTACTTTATAGAACTAACACAATCCTCAACACTAAAAAGGTTGACAGTAAGCAGATATTCAATTAAGGTGAAGCATGATATCAGATTTTCTTATCAAGCTCAGTAATGCTTGAGATAGATAAGTGATCAAAATATATCTATTGACTGAAAGTTCAGGAGTCCAAATAAGGACTTGCCAAATAAGGGAAAAGGAGGGGATCTTTCCCATTTCTAACCTTTTACCCGCCTGACAGGTTTGGCACATAGTACATACTTAACAAAGAACTGTTGGGTGAGCATCTCAATGAATCCTGTTGTCATCAGGGCAGAGAAGGGTAAGACAGACTTCCCAGCTGTCCCACTATAGTAGCTGGTGCAGTGATGGAGCTTCAGTCACTGTTGCCCTTACCTGCTAGGCCTCCCGCCAGCCACACAGCACAGGGGCTGGGGCCTGCACAGGCCTCAGGTGTGATCCACTCATTCAAGAACACATAGGGGATGAAGTAGAGGCAATAGCCTGGGACATCCCTCAGCAGCATGGCACTGGCACCCCGGTATAGGCCCAGCAGGCCCTCATTCCGCACTATGGTTGCCATGCAGTGCACAGGCCCGTGGTACACTGGCTGCTCCCCCAGAGCCACAGCCCTGGGCTTCAAATGAAGGTTGGCTGTAAAGACAGAGGAAGAAGATAGCAAGTGACGCAGTCTCTGTCGTTGATGGTTCTCACTCTCGTGACTTACTGATTTTAACAAACCCTCTGACCTCTTTGGCACCTCATACCAGGATTCTGTAGTCAGCACATGGATCCCCTGCCAACATGAATAACCAGGGTGGAGAATCCCAGACAGGTGATAAAGCACCAGTTGCCTTAGGATGCCCAGTGGTTTCTGGCCAACCTTCACTACGTCTTTCTTTGCCACTGTGCTACAAAGTGTCCATGAGCAAATATGTCAAACTAGACCAAACTCTTCTATTTTTTTAACAGGTTGTAAAATCTTACAGGCTACATGCATATGCATGCCCACATGTATGTGTGTGTATGTATGTACAGTGTGCCAAAAAAGTATATAAGATTTGGAGGCAAATTGTCCTGATTCCAAATCCCAGTTCCACCACTTACTTACAAACATTTTGACCTTGGCAGGCCAACTTTTTCAGCCTCTGTTTCCTTATCTTTATAAAAGGTACAAGCTGTTGTGAATCTAGATAAGGTAATGCATGTCAAGTGCTCACCATGGTGCTTGGAACATTGAAGAGGCTTAGTAAGTAAACAGCAAGGTTATTCTTACAAGATGGTTAGCCCAAATTGGATACAGGACTACTGGCTGGAGGGCTTGCCATATTCTCATTGGGTTGTTTCAACCGTGGCTAGGCTGTGCCCTGAGACAACTAATAGGATAGCACCAGTAGTACCCTTGGCCGCTCAAACTCCAGGGACCATAGGGTCTGCTCTCTCCTTGTCTGACCTCCAGGTGTCTACAGGTAGTCCCCAACTTAGAATGTATTCAAGTTAAGAAGAACAACACTTAAGACTGTCCTATGTTCTCCAGTGGCATATTGGTTAAGGCATTTGGTTGTTAACCAAAAGTTTGGTGGTTTGAACTCACCAGCTTCTCCATGGAGGAAAGATGAGGCAGTCTGCTTCCATAAAGATTTACACCCTTGGAAACCCAATGGGGATCACTATGTGTCAGAATCAACTCAAAGGCAGTGAATTTGGTTTCTTGGTTTTATATTGTTATAAATATGTACTACATACATATTACACCTGTGGAGATCCATATTTGTGCCCATTCCAAAGACAGGTGATCCAATAGAATGTGGATATTATCAAACAATATCACTAATATCACACTCAAGTAAAATCTTGCTAAAGATAATTAGAAAATGGTTGTAGCAGTATATTGACAGGAATCTGCCATAAATGCCAGCTGGATTCAGAAGAGGATGTGGAAAGACGAATATCATTGCTAATGCCAGGTGGATCTTGGCTCAAAGCAAAGAATACCAGAAAGATGTTTACTTATTTTTTTATTGACTATGCAAAAGCATTTGACTGTGTGGATCATAAAAAATTATGGACAATGTTGTGAAGCTTGAGAATTCCAAAACACTTCATTGTGCTCCTGAGAAACCTGTACACAAACCAAGAGGCTGTGGTTCAAACAGAACAAGTAAAGACTGCATGGTTTGAAATCAGGAATGGTGTGCATCAGGGTGTATCCTTTCATCATACTTATTCAATCTGCATGCTGAGCAAATAATGCAAGAATCTGGAAAAAATTAAGACCAACATGGCATCAGAATTGGAGGAAGACTTCTTAGCAACCTGTGATATGCAAATGGCACAATCTTGCTTGCTGAAAGTCAAGATGACTTGAAGCACTTACTGATGAAGATTAAAGACTATAGTCTGCAGTATGTATTACACCTCAACATAACAAAAACAAAAATCCTCACAACTGGATCAATAAGTAGCATCACAATAAATGGAGAAAAGATTGAAGTTGTCAAAGATTTCATATTACTTGGATCCACAATCAACACACATGGAAGCAGTAGTCAAGAAATCAGATATCATATTGCACGGGGAAAATCTGCTGAAAAAGGCCTCTTTAAAGTGTTAAAGAGCAAAGATGGCACTTTGAAGGGTGCCTGACTCAAGCCATGGTACTTTCAATCACTTCATATGCATGTGAAAACTAGACAGTGAATAAGGAAGACTGAAGAAGAGTCAATGCTGCATTATGATGTTGGTAAAGAATACTTATAATACCATGTACTGTAAGAAGAATGAACAAATCTGTCCTGGAAGAAGTATAGCCAGAAGGCTCCTTGGAAGTGAGAATGGCCAGACTTCATCTCATCTACTTTGGTCATGTTGTCAGAAGGAACCATTTCCTGGAAAAGGATCTCATGCTTGGTGAAGTGGAAGATGAGCAAAAAAGGAGAAGAGCTTCAACGAGATGGATTGACACAGTGGCTGCAATTATCATCTCAAATATAGCAAAGATTGTGAGGATGGTACAGGACTGGGCAGTGTGTTGTTTTGTTGTACACAGGGTCACCATGAATTGGAGCCAACTTGACAACAACTAACAACAACAACAACAACAGTGTTGCAGTAAGTAAATTACTGATGTTATTCTCAGATGTTCACTCACAGACGTTCAATTTTATGATTTACTGTTCAGAATACCACCATTCAGGAAGCAGATTATATGATCTATAAGGACGTTGATTTTGAGAGTTGTAACAAATAGAAAGTTAGGCAATGTTCAACTCTAACAACATATGACATTGAACTACACACATGCCTGACAGCATTACAACTCCAAGTTCATTGTTAGGAAACTGACACCAACTTCATTGTAACCTATAGTGTGATCTTATTCAGAATTTCATACCATAAAAAACATCAATTTT